TCAGAAGGAGGGGTGCTCACAACAGAAACCTCGTGATAATCATCATCAGAAGTTTTCCAGTGGAAGAGAGGCTGGGAAGCCAAGCTGAAGGAAGAGGAGGAGACTGGACTAGGAGCTGGGGTAGATGGCACATGGGAAGGCTGAGGTGGGAGTGAGAGGAGAGGTGCAGGGCCAGAGACATGAGAGGGAGCAGCATTAGCAGGGACTGTCTTTGCAGCTTCTGTGAGAGGCTGGAGCTGGGGAGAGGCTGGAACAGAGAGTGTCCTCCTTGGGAGGAGTGGGGATTCTGGAGGAAAAACCACCTAGAAAGACACGGAGGAAGAAGAAAGGTGAATAAATCCAAAGAGGAACCAACAAGCACTTCCTGCAACAGGAAGGCTGGCTGCTACCAGTATGTTTATCTAAGGAGGAAAAGCAGCAAGAAAGAGAAGGGAACTAGAAAATGTGCTGCAGTGTGTAGCTCAAGGAAGAGCACCATCTTATCCCCAGAACATCCTGCACAGGTTTGGCACTGGGCAGAACAAAGCATGTCCCTATGACAGGCTTCCCAGTGTGGTTTCAAAAATAATCCCCACATGGACATTTGACATGTGAGAGCAGCAGTCTGCACGAACAGATACCATCACCAGCACCCTGAGATCCCACTCCAGTTCTTGGACACACAGAACTAGGACCTGTGTGCTGCTTTCCTTCTCAGGCCAGAAAAGGGTCAATCCCTGAGATTTCCTCCTTCATTTCATGTTGTTTAGGACTCAGAAACTTAATCTGCACTTCCACACAATGCTATCCTGACAGTGGGATGTGCTGGAATTTCCCAGCACATGTCCCTGCTTTCTACCTTCTCTACTTGCTGCCCACCACTCTGCTCGTCCCCCCGGGGTCTGGCAGTGACAATGACCCCCTCTGTCAGCCAGGCATCCTGGCTTGGCCACTCCTCCTGCTCCTGGTTATCGATGCCCAGTTTGTCCTGCAGCTCTTCGATCAAGCGATCCTGGGACTCAGTCTTGTGAAATATGGCAGGACCTAGTTTACGCCTTGGAGAGAGGTCCCGAGACATTGGATGCACATTCGAAGTCTCTTTTGTCCTCTTGATTAAAGATTTAATCTAAATGATAAAGGTAAAAGTATCAGCAGAGAACAATGTCAGAGCAAGGCCCAAGATGCAACAGCACAAGCTCAAAGACGTTAGTGACAATTGTGAGCAGGAAGAGTGATGACATTTATTCCACAATGCCAAAATTCCTCTTGGCACAGCTCAGAACAGTGACTCAGTGCAAGGAAAAACCCTGTAAGGATAATCACAGCAGCCAAAAATAACTGTCTAGAAAAGGAAGGGAAAGATTAACCAGAGGGAAGCCAAGATAGGAGGTGCAGCATGACCACTCCACTGAGCATTAAAGAAACCTCAGCATCACAAGGGCACAGAGCAGCCTCTCTGTTTAGCCTTTACAAGCACAAGGCTTTTGGTAAGAGATGTCTGGTGCACAAAGTGTACTTCCTGCATGGGAAGGAACACTAACAGCTCAGTAATGAGACCTAAAAAGGCAAGCAGAGCAGAGGGGCTGCCATTCCCATCAGGAACATCCCCCAGTGGCATGAAACAGTTCTTTCATCTTTTCAGAGCTCTCTGTGGACTGAGCCTTACCCCAGCTAGGGAATAAAAGTCCACTTCACAAGGAAGCCCCTACAAACTGCCATGTTCTGTGCTGCTGAGTGACATGCAGAGGTGACCACAAGATAACGCTGAGGGTTCCAAAGCCCCGCGACATGCAGCTGTCAGTGGCACTGCTCAGAGCTGCATGCAGTTAGCGTGGGTGAGCCCAGGCACACTCACCCCACACACAGTGTTAGTGCACTGTCAGAACAGTCCTAGCTAGGACTCGTCCTACTCCCACATTCATTCAGTGCCTGCCTGGCCTGATGCAGAAATCCTCTCAGTGGGTGGTTTGGAGACACATGGCAGATCCCATTCAGCTTTCTGAAAGTTTTCAGGAGATTCCGGAGTGGCTGCAGAACTTCTGAACTGCTCATTTTTCTGGTCTCCTCTGGCTTTGTTCACGTTGGCAGTACCTGCCTTCCTAGTTCTCTCTCTGCTCTGCCTCCTCTT